GCACATCTTGGAGGTTTGACTGAGATCGGCGAGGGTGTGTTCTTGACGCACGAGAGCACGGAATCGTTTGCTGTAGTCCGCGAGCGATTCAGCTCGGGTCTTGCGAATTTCCCATAGTTCTTCTTGGATCTTTTCGTTGTAGTCGACAGGCAGCACAACCTTGGACGCCTTGCATAGCGTGCTGGTAAACTCTTCGTCCATTCGGATGTCGCCGTCTTCTCCTTCTTCTGCATCTTCGAACGCCTCCAGCAAGTCTCCTTCCAGGAGGATCTTGGCGTTGAGAATTTTGTCTTCAGGATTCCAACTCTTGAGCTTGGCGAGCTGGTCGAAGTGGTAGACCCAGTCCAGGAAGTCCTTCGAACCACCTTCGATGAACGTGGCCATCTTCTTCGTCACGACTTCTTCTTGCACTCCAGTTTCTTGGATCGCAGGGCGTACTGTAATCGAGTACGTAAGGTACCGCTCCTTGTCGTCTTTGGTCGTGGAGCGGCTCATCGTAGATGGTTGGAAGTCGACGGGTGGGCCAGGTCGAGATCTTGCTTTTGAGAATTCTCAAAGTGCCAAAGCCACTTGTGTTGAGCTGTGCGAAATGCGAACTGAGATTATCCTGGCGTTAGCTACTTATGCAGGGCACTCCCTGGAGGAGGCCTTCCTTTGAACCTATGAATGCAGTCGCCACAAGATCGGTCTGGGTTGCCTCTTGCGCCAGTGAGGACAGGCCTAAGTGACGACAGGGTGCGGAATGATGTCACTCCATGGAGCGCAAGTGATGGCATATTTGCATCGGTATAACGCGTGGTGTCTGGTAGATGGGTCAGCGCCACGACCAGTTGTGGGAGGACCTGCGCAGCAACAGTTTGACTCGTTGGACTTTTTACACTTTACTTCGCGTTGCCAAAGTGGAGGATTCGGAGCGAATGTGTGACCTACCTACAGAGAAGGAAATGCGGGAAGGTTTAGAGGCCCACCGTGTGAAGTGTGGGTTTTCGAACTACGTTTGGGTAATGAAGAAGTTCTTTCATACCGTTACTCTCGTGAGCAGACTATGGATTCCTGGCTTCAGGAGATTCACGATACACGCCGCGCGCTGGCAAATCTAGGCCGCGTAGTTTACGATGATCTCACTGTGGATGTGATTCTCATGGGTGTAGTGCATACGCACCGAGAGGTAGTGTGGCAGTTTTCTCGCGTGACGACTCCCG